AATGTAAAATTTATTACACATTTAACAACTATGCACGTATGTACGTAAGTATAGTATATGATATCTGATATGAATTACGAATACGTAAGTACGTAAGTACGTAAGTACGTACGTACGTACGTAGTTAAATTGTATGTATTGACTATATAAAGATTTATTTGAAATCTGCAAAAAGCAATAAATGGATTAATTGAACACTATTACTACTAAAATAGAAATATGCACCTAAAAAAAACATCAATGATCGCACGATACTAATCATGATAATTAGACATACCAGTAACGTACGTAATACAGGTTACAATTGTATGGAGTTAAGATACGCTGTAGTAAACAAGATAAATTAAAATGTTAAAGACTGATGGATCTAAATGGATAGTTGATGTAAGGCATTTTGACTTGCGTCAATCTATTTATTAGAGTTAATTATACAAAATAATCAAAAGTTAACCATGCTATATGCATTAAACATAATATGAATTCTTGTTTTCTGAAAGTAATACTTCCCGTAAAATTACTTCACGTCAGGCTGCTGCTTCATGTAGATTTTAATACTTAAATGACAAAGCAACATGAATAGATGAATATACTAAAATCAGCTACATAATAATTCTTAAATTATAATCGTAACCACTTAAAATATGCATTTTCGTTTTTTCTACGGAAGCATCTTTGCTATAAGAAAACCAAATATAAGGATACCAATATAAGGATCCTTACATACGAACGTACTTACGTATGTACGTTTGCACATACGTACATATATCGTATGCAAGCACATCTGTCATGTATGCTCTGTGCTTGAGAAAATGGAACTCTACATAAGACGTGAGAATTATAATGATCTAAAAGTATAATACATACATTTATAGGTAAAAAGAACTTTGATGTAATTCCAATTCGGTTGACGTTTTAAAAAAATTAGATTTGAGATGAGATGTTAACCACAAACAAAATAGGTTTATATAATAATAATACGTAGATGATTGACATTTCTTTAAAAGGAATTTGAAAACAGTAGTCAACTTTAATAGATTGATTGGATGATTTTATGTAACAAAGTTGACTTGATTTATAGATATTTTATTTATTTATTTACAGTTTATTTATTCAATTATATTTTACGATTACACGTCGTAATTTCCCAAGTAAAAACGTAAATTGAACTAAATTAGTTTTACTCATAGGTTGAAGAAGTTTCCATTGATTATATAAATTTTTTTAAAAAAATCGAATTATTTAAGACTATTTTAACCATAAATTTATTTATTCATTTATTTATTCAATTTTATTTATTCAACTATTTATTGAATTTATTTATTCAATTTTATTTATTGAATTTATTTATTGAATTTATTTACAGTTTATTGAACTTTTTATTGAATGAATTTATTTACATTTTATTGGATCCATTCATTGGATCCATTCATTGAATCCATTCACTGAATCCATTCATTGAATTTATTTATTGAATTTATTTATCTTTATTGATTTATTTTTAGAATTTTTTTAGATACCACAATATGAAAACTAATTACAAAAAAAAAAAAAAGCAAACCAATTTTTATGTACTCAAATGAAAAAAAAACTGATGCGAACATATAAACTATACGTATATATATCTGTATATATTGTAAAAGCTTCATCATTTCGATAACCAATCAATGGTATTAAGCAAAAAAATATTGTTTGACAAAAATGGATATTAAAAAATCTTAGAAAAGAATGAAAATTTAAAATTGGTATTCACGTGTAATTTTTAAACCTTTCCAAATAAAGGTATGATTATACATTTATCAAAATAAAAAAAAGAATAAATTTAAAAAATAATAGGATCTATGAATTCTAGGATGCAAATTTGTCACCTGGATCACTCGTATAATTGTGACGGCGAGAATTATAGATAATTAGTTTTTTCAAAATTTCGAGGGTGGAGTTTGATTCGATATTATCTAAAAAGATATAAAAAAAAAAACTGATTCAGTTCGAATGAAAAAAAAAATAGTACGATAGTATAAATACAAACCTGTGAATAGTGTTGTGACCTGAGAGAGATGATTCGACACCAATTTAGCGCAGGGCCGCAGACATAAACTTAGGGACGATAGTGCAGTGTATTCTCTCTTTGTGAACAATAATGCCGTGCGGTTCTCAAATAAGGTTGGTAATTTATCCAGTAATGGATATGAAGTCAAAGTTTTTCTAACCCCACGCGTGCAATTTGACTTTTATTTCCTTGGTTATTATTATTCCTGACTGGAGTATCGTTTAGGCACTTCCACCTAATAATCACTACAAGAAAACGTGCACAACGATACTAGTATTCAGTATACTATTAAGATAGTATTTTCCATGTACAGTTTGCTTAAATGATCGATGCGCTTATATATTAAATTATCGTCTAATCATCCATTATACTACATACTATATACTGTATAGCTCTGCATATAGATAGTGAAACTAAATTGTACTGGTGAAACTGGTGACTATCTAAAATCTGATTGGCTATTTTGTGAAATAGCCAATCAAATTTTAGATAATCACCAGCAACTCTAATATAGACCAGTGTGACACGATTTTTTAATTAAAAATCATACGTATTTTTGTATCACATAATCGTATAAATAATCTTTTAAAAAATTGATCTAAAATTAATCTAAATTATTTGTCACGAACGGTACTATGTGCAGCGCTATACGGTACGAACGTACGTAAGTACAGAATATTAGACTTTAATTTTTATGCATCAACTTCTATCGACGATCACGTATTCATGCAACGTGATCACGTTACATGACCCAACCCCAGCACTAAGAAACAATCGAACGTGTATTACATATTAGCAAAGCAAAGAAAATAATAATGAAGGTTTATACAAAGGAAAAATTTTAACAAAATTTTCGCACACAAAAGTTTGTTAACTAGCGGGATTGAACATTTGGATAAATTAGTAAGAAAAAAAAGGACGTTTATTCACAATACAATAATAATGTGTTAAATTTGATGTTTTCTGTGTAATAATAACTGATTTTTATTCAACTGTTTAACCCGGTTGAACCGTTTTGAAACGGATGACCTGGTTTACTATAACCCGGTTCTAAGCTCTAGTTAATATTTGATATCCCAATTGATCCACTCATTGAAAGATCCATCATCCTGTTCACATAACCCAAAAGACATAATATTAGGCATATCTTGAATACCTAATCCAGAAATAAAACCATTACTTCCATTTGAGGATTCATTAAATAGATTCACGTTAGAAGGAGCTGATGTAGTTATTAACGTAGGATCAATGATTTGCAAGGTATGATTAAAGATGGAAGGTTGACCTATTACATTTAAATTTACATTTAAATTTGAAACGCATTGCTGCTGTTGATGCTGCTGCTGCTGCTGTTGACGCTGCTGCTGTTGACGTTCCCGATATTGACGTTCCCGTTGTTGACGTTCTTGCCGTTGACGTTCCTGCTGTTGATACTGCTGCTGCTGTTGTTGTTGTTGCTGTCGGTGTTGTGACAAATTACTAGCAAATAATTGTGGTTGAGACTGAATTTGAGTTCTCATACAATGTAATTGATGATTATTACTAATTGGGACATGAATGGGTGATGATCTTCGCGCGCTTCTTGTGCTTCTTGCGTAGGATGTATTAGGAACTTCGTGAGTAAATGAGGGAACGGATGAATGGTTATTATTAAGGTTGTTATGTGTGACATGCGTAGTAGTTTGAAATGGTTGAGTCAATAATTGATGATGACGGCGTATCTGCGCTGAAATGTGTTGATTGTGCTGATTGTGCTGATTGTGCTGATTGTGCTGATTGTGTTGATTGTGCTGATTGTGTTGATTATGTTGATTGTGTTGATTATTTAGGTTAGGTTGATCAGTAGAGCGATTATATCCAATGTTAGAAGCTTCTTCAGGATTAGATAATTTAGATAATGATTTGTTTGGTGACGAAGGAGTTGAAGAATCCAAAGATGATGTTGATGATTGCGATGGTGAAAGTTGTGGTAAATGCATCGAATTTACATTAGATGATGACGATGATAATGAATATTGAGCTGAAATAACTGAATTCTTAGTTATTTGAAGTTGTCGTTGATCATGATCCTTTTTATCTTGTAAGCTTTTTCTTGGTCTATAAACGTAACCAGGATGCATTTCCAAATGTAAAACCTTTGCAATTTCTTGCAATCTTGTATATTGACTTTTTGTTTTTTCCGTGGCATTGTCCCACAATTTTCCTGCTGCCATTGAAACTTGTGGTACCTTCAGGTTATGTGTTGATAAATGAATATGAAGTGCGTTGCGAAAAAGAAAAAATGCATTTGGAGGTCTTGGTGGATCATTTTTCTTTGATTTAGCTCTGCGTGAATTTTCCAAAACTCGCTTAATGAAATGTGTATCAGGTAAAGGAACATGTTCAGCAGTAAGACCTGACAAGATTTCGGCGGTTGTTTGGTCATCAGGGGAAGGTCGGAACGAAGGGGTACTTGTACAAATTGATTGACGACGTTTGACACGAGTAGAATTGTTACTATTGACTTTTGGCATTCTGTTTATTGACTTTTGTGCAATTCTGTGTAAATCTGTTGTTTGTGTAAGTATGTGTTAGATTATGTGTAAATAACGAGGAAAAAAAAAAAAAAAAAAAAGATGCGTTTCGTTTGACGGACCGAAAACGTTGCGTTTATAAATTAATGATCCAACAAGGTATTCAGGATAATCAAAAAACAAACAAAAAAAAATAAAAATAAAAAAAAAATAAAAAATCAAATATTATATATTTTATATATTTTGTAAAAAAAAAAAAAAAAAATTTGACTTTGTTCAAATAGAGAAGAGAATAGGAAATAGTCATATATATATGAAAGTCATGGGATGATGATATGAGCTTGGTATTATGAAAATTGTGATGCTGGTCAATAATCGATAGATACATAAATAATTAATATCAAGACTATAAGCTATATAAAAACTATAACGATAACGATAAAACGAATGTCAGGGCATGTGATTCAAATTTACGCTAAGCCTTCTTTGGTTGAAAACAAAAGGGAAATATTCGTCAATTTCAGAATGGCGTTTCATTTTTCCTTCGAGTTGTTCTAATTACGTATAAAATATAAATATAAATATATATATAAATATGTGTATTTCAAATATATGTATTTAAAAGATATCGTGTATACCCCGATCTTCTTATTTATATACTTGCATCACAAGTATAAATTGCAGGGTTTGTGTTATCTATTAAGTATAGTTTCTAAATTTTCCAGAATGATAGAATCGGAATGATATCGGCGATGTTATTTTTTGTTCTCAGTATCTCCCGCCCAAAAATCCGTTTCACCTGACTGAACATTTGAACAATTTCTAAAAATATAAAAATATACTTTTATTTTCACATATTCTAATGTATTCTAAAGGATTAAAAAATGTTATTATGCCAAAGAAATTTATTAATTATAATTATAAATGAATTACTATTAAAATATTAAATTATTGGATTTTTATGTTGTATTACAAGATTAACTTATGCTGATCTATCTTTTACTGAACGTTTAAACTATATTTTTTGTTATTTTTTTTTTTAAACCTTACATCAAATATCTGATATATTGAAACAAGACCTCCGTGTTTTTTTTATTCCATGATTAAAAAAGATTTATTTAAAATTTTTAAAATTTTTTAATGTATGTTGTGACAGTTGTAAAATGAAATCTTTTGGTTTCTCCGCACCTTTAGGATTCCTATCATTTAGATACATATCATGTGCAATACTGCGCCACTAACTTATTGGAGTACAAGATTTTTTTTCAATCAATTGGTCATTTTGTTCACAATCGTTAAAATTTTCAAATTTCATTATGATCCTAATTTAGATTAGTGAATTTCAATTGAAACAAAAGCAAATGTCCAACTGAATTCAATAATTACGATTATATAAAAGGCACATGTAATATATAAATCCTATGAAGGTAAGTATTCGTGTTATTGTGTCAAGAAAATTTTGCCAATTCAAATTTTCTCCATTGAATAATAATATCTATTTTGTCTTCTATTGTCCAGATTATCTGGTGAGTTCTAACCAGAAGATTATTACATCAGTTCATCATGATTATAGTGATCATTTTATTTTTTCTATTTTTATTTTTTGTATTTTGATCTCGAAAAAAAAATAATTACATACATTAATGTTAAAAAAAGATTAGTTAAAAGAGAAAAAAAGATCTTAAAACTAAAGAATAAAAGAAATAATGAAATAATGACATAAAACAAAATATAACAGAACTAAAAACAAAAACAGAGGTCAGTTATATTTGATTATTCATGTGAGCTATTTTTCCCGTTACATTATGACAAATTTCAATCACTTAAATAATCACGTGAAATATCTATTAGCGTTAGGAAAAAAAAGAACACAATAACAATTTTATATGTATGTGCGTATCCGTAAGAACGACTTTACATTATTCATCATAAATTCTTTTTTTTATCTCGAGGAAAATTTTCATAAAATATTCATATTAGGTGAGGGTGATTAGGAAATGTAGTAGTAGTCGACATGTAAACAGAATTTGCTTCTCAGTATTACGATCACGAAAAAGTAAATCTTTTTAACATACATACAAGAAGCATACATCAATTAATAGGTGAATAAAAATGTTCTTTTTTTCTTAACATTAAAAGCTTAAAAAAAATAATACTAAGCTTAAGTGTCTACCTTAATCTTAATCGGTGAGTTTTTTTTTAATAAAAAGTACTTCATTTTTACCAGATAGGCTCTTGATTTATCTGGCTTGTAACCGGTCATTCTATATTTATCGGATTGTCTATCGTAATGTTTTTTTTTATCGGTGCAGCGATAGTGACCTTATGATCTCGAATCTCGAATAACAAAAAAAAAAAAGGACGACGATTTTTTATGTGTGTACGCGAGTGTCAATTTCTCCTCATCGAATTAATATTTATATCGAAAGTATATATTTTTAGTGAATGTGGTGGTCTTTCGATATTCCGAAAGAGAGTTGGACGTTAACGGTACGTAAGTCGAAGGCGTGTGACCATTTCGTTTTTCAACCTTATCTTTTATTCATTATAAAACCTATCAAAAAAATTTTTGATTTTGTTTTGTTGTTTTTTTTTTTTATTTTTTATTTGTATTTTTTTTTTGCTAATGTTACTTGATTTCGTATTCATGCTTAAAATCTGCGCATCAAACAAATCAATTATTTTTGAATTATTTGTATACGCACCAGGAATTTATTGAATAAATGTGATCGAATATCGACGAGAAGTGAATTCGCTCGATCGTGATCATAAAGAACGATTCAAATTCACTTCACCTCGTTAATGTCCGCAAGTTCACATTTATTCAGATGATTCAGATGATATTAATTTCGTTAAGATCGTTAAGCGAAGATCATTGAAATGGCCACAATCTGTTTTTTTTTTGTTTACTTGCGATGGTGTTTATATAATTTCAAAAAAGATTATAGATGCCATTTGTGGAACCTTTTGCATTTAACGCGAATCTGCATAAAGGATTGGTGCCTAATAATTGTCATTTGGTCATCTCGAGAATCCTGTAATCTACCTTTTTTTTTTTTCTTATCACTGATATTCTTAACATGATCTGCTTTAAAGTTATATCTCAATAAAGTTTTTTTTTAAAAGATGTTCAGATAACGCCGTCCTACGTAAATCAATAAATGGGCGCCCTCCACTTCTATAAACGATATTCCTTTCAAGACTATTTTGGAATTTTGGTTAATTATGATCCGAGTATCGGTTATATCTCACAAAATAGTCAACGATGTCTTAAAGTTTCGGGAAATTTGACTAATAAGTAAAACAAATATTTGTTGTTATGGTATACGTATTAATACATATTATATATATTTAAAAAAAAAAAAACCTTCTAAAGATAATTTGTGTAGTTTCTCATCCTGACAATAATATTTTGTTTTTAAAAAAAACAGTCCGTGCACTTTAGTTTTTTTTTTTTTCTTTTGGTTAAAATTTTATAGGGGTAAGTCACGTTTTTGAGAATTAACAATTTCTTTGTTTAATTCATCCAGTCAGTTGATTCGGTCACAAAAATTTTAGGTTTAGCGCATATATTTGAATGCGTCATTTTGTGTATTTTCCCCTGAGGTTGGATGTACTAGTATTAAGGATTTGTCGTATTACAAAATCTTTTAAGAAATTTATGGAGAAATGAGCCTCATTCATATATCTCCTTATGAAAATACTTAACGCATTTAATCTTAATTTATCACAATCTTCAAACTTTAATTCACATAATTCACATAACTCACATAATTCACATACATTCACATATCGATTGCCGTATATATATATAATATATATATTATATATATTTATATATGTATATATATATTTATAATTATAATTCATAGTTTTGTTTCAATTCGAAACAAACAATTCATAGAATGTTTCACCAGTTACGTTAAGAATCCATTATCCATTAGGCTTCTTATCGATCTTGCTTAAACATCTTTCTCATAGAAAAAGCCTTGCGTGCCATTTCTGGGATCGATAAATGCGATTGATTCGTAACTCCTGTAAATAAGATTTAAAATAAAGATTACCTAATATTATTACATATGTATTTATTATATAATATCGAAAAATTTACACAGACAACCCTTCGACAAAGAGAATCTTAAATCGTTTTTCATTGTCTAAGATTAACAGTTTTAAAAGCTGTAGAATCGCTCACAATGATCCCAATGATCCCAATGATCACATATTTAATATATATAAATATATATTTCTGAGATTATGTTATCATCGGCTTTTGCCTGCTTGAGTGAATATAATAAATGTTAATGTCCAACAAGAATTCAATCATCATTCATCATTGTATATTTGGAAAGATATGATTATTATAAAATATATTGTAATTAAAATAAACCTTGATAATCATCTAACCAAATTTATAATATATAATTTCTAACTAATTTTATAATAATTCCTAACCAATTTTATAATTACCTAACCAATTTTATAATTTCCTAACCAATTTTATAA